TTATGAGATAAAGAGTTGTGGTATCGGGGGGCTGGGGAGTTAGCTCAGCGGCATAAGCGCCTGCCTTGCAAGCAGGCAGTCATGAGTTCGATCCCTGGTACCGATAAAAAGGAAAAAGACCAAAAAAAAAAAAAAAGAGTTGTGGTATCAGTACAACTGTGTGTTATTTTTGAGGTTTTTATTTTGTTTTTGTTTTTTACAATCTTGCCATGCAGTTCAGGCTGGCCTTGAACTCACTGTGTAGCCCAGACTGGCCTCAAACTCATGAGATCCTCCTGCCTTGGCCTCAAAGTGCTAGTATCACAGGATGTGTTACCACACCTGGGCCTGTGTTTCATTTTAAAATGCCTTAAATTTTTATTTACTGGCAATGCTTGAGATTTAACCAGACCTTCACACTGAACTATATCCTCAATCCTCTTTATTTTTTTATTTTTTTGTCTTTTTCGTTTTTATTGGTACCAGGGATCGAACTCACGACTGCCTGCTTGCAAGGCAGGCACTTATGCCGCTGAGCTAAATCCCCAGCCCCCAATCCTCTTTATTTTTATTTTCACGGAAGATCTTGCTAAAGTCCCCAGGTTGGCCTGGAACATGTGATCCTCCTGCCTCAACTTCCCAGAGTACTACAATTACAGGCATGTGACACCATACACCTCTAGGACTGCTCATTTACTACCTGTAATTTTGTCTCTCTCTCTCTTTTTTTTGTCTTTGAGACAGTGTCTTGCTATGCAGTTTAGGCTGGCCTTGAGCTCACTTTGTAGCCCAGGCTGGTCTGGAATTTACAATGATACTCCTGCCTCAACCTCCTGAATGCTAGCATTATACATGTGCACCACCATGCCTGTTTTTTGTTTGTTTTGTTTTTTTCCGGCACTCAAACTCAAGACCTTGCCTTTGCCAGGAAGGTGTTTGTGCTGCTGACCTATACCCTGGCCCACTAGCTGTAATTTTCTGTTCTCTTCTCGTTTTCTTTTTGAGACAGGAGCTTGCTATGTATTCCAGGCTGGCCCTAAACTTATGCAGCACCTGCAGACTTCAGTTTCAGTGTATGTGCTGCCGAAGGGAGCACCACACTGGCTTCAATCTCAAGGCGACCCACCCGCCTCAGTCTCCTGAGTGCTGAAATTACATCCATGCACCGCTATGCCTAGCTATGCCTAGTTCCACATGTGTGTGTGTCTTTTTGAGGCTCACTTTGCCGCCTGGGCTAATTTACTCTCATATCCAGAATGGTCTCAGTTTCCCCAGGACTATTAATAACTTTTGAGCTGGGCATGGTGGCTCAGGCCTATAATTTCACCAAACAGACTAAGGTAGGAAGATCAGTGTGAGTTCAAGGACAAGACCAGTTTTGAACACACACACACACACACACACACACACACACACACACTCTGAGGCCATAGCATATATTTAGGAAAGAGCTGCTATTGAAGAAGTTGAGTCAGGGTGCTCTTGAATAGTGCACAAAAGGGCTGCCAAGCATGGTGGTGAATGCCTATAACCCCAGCACTACAGGAAGCTGAAGCAGGAGAATCAAAAGTTTGAGCCTAAGCCTCGGCAATTAAGGAATGTAACCAGAACCTGGTCTCAAAAGAAAAAATAGGCTGGCATGATGGCAGATGCCTGTAATTCCCATACTGAGAAGGCTGAGGCAGTAAGATCACTTGGAGTTCAAGGCCAGCCTGAACTAAATAGTGAGACCTTGTCTCAAATATAAATAAATAAATAGGCTGAGGATATATTTTGGTGCAAAGGCCCTGGGTTCAATTCTTAGAAAAAAAAAAAAAAAGGAGAAGAAAGAGGAAATCCATTTGCCATACATATGCATAGAGTGCTTCTCCGTTCAACGGTTGTTTTGTGGTTTCCAAGGAAAAACATTTGAGTAATTAAATTGGCAGTGGAGCTAAACTTTATTTTTAAATTAACATACTTTATTTACTTAGTTCATAAATTGACTTCTTGGGTCAAGGATTTAGCTCAGCAGTATAAGCATCTGCCTGGCAAGCATGTGATCTTGAATTCGATCCTGGTACCAAAAATAAATAAATAAATAAATAAATAAATAAATAAATAAATAAATAGGTTTCTTGCCTTTTGGAGGCACATGCCTGTAATTCCAGCACTCAAGAGGCAGAGGCAGGACGACTGCTGTGATTTCAAGGCCAGCCCGAATTAGATAGTGAAACCCTGACTCAAAAAACAAAAAACTTGTTTCTTTATACTTTGCATATGTTAAGTATGAGCTGTTCTCCTGAGCTATATCCCCAGTCCCCTAATATTTTTTGAGCAGCTTTAGGTTTACAGAAACGGTGAGTAGAAAATACTATTTCCATACACCCTTTCCTGCTTCCTCATTTCTCCTATTATTAACATCTTAGTGTGGTACATTTGTTACAACCAATGAACCAGAATTGTATTATTATTAACAAAATACATTTGGATATATTATTATTATTACTTGGTACTGGGAATCAAACTCAGGACCTTGCACTTGTTAGGCAGGCGCTATGCTGCTGAGCTAAATCCCCAGGCTTGCATGATTACGAACGCCAAAAGTACATACTCTTTGTGTTGTACTTCAGTAAGGTTTTTTTTGTTTTGTTTTGTTTTTTACCAGTACCGGGGATCAAACTCACGACTGCCTGCTTGCAAGGCAGGTGCTTATGCCGCTGAGCTAAATCCCCAGCCCCCAGTTTTTACAAATATATAATGACATGTATCCACTACCATAGAAATTTTTTTTTTTTTTTTGGAGACAGGGTATCGCTGTGCAGCCCAGGCTGGCCTCGAACTTGCAGCGAACTTGGCAGTTCATTTTCTTTTTTGCTGCTAGGGATTGAATCTAGGGCCATGTGTGTGCCAAGTATGTGCCCTCCACTGCACTACATTCCCAGCTCACAGCCCTCCTCCCTTCCTTCCTCCACCTCCTCTCTCCCTTCCTTCCTTCCATCTTTCCTTCTGTAATGGAGATTGAACACACACCCTTAACACTGAGCAACATCCTCATCTCTTTTAATTTGCAGAGACAGGGCCTCACTAAATTGTCCAGGCAGGCCTGGAACTTGAGATTCTCCTCCTCAGCTTCTCAGGTAGCTGTGATGACAAGTCTGGGTCATCCACCTGAACCCAAATGATTTTTTCTTGGTATCAGGGATCAAACTCATGACCTCACACTTGCCAGGCAAGTGCTGTACTGCTGAACTGTATCTCTGACCTAAGTGATTTCTTTTTAACACTGAATAATATCCCATTGTATGGATGTGCCACAGTTTGTTTACCCATTCATTTACTAAAGGATATCTTGATCACTTCTAAATTTTGGCAATTATAAGTAAGTGCTATAAATAAACACACGTGTATTTTTGTTTGCACATAAATATTCAACTGAAGAATCATATAGTTAATAATATGCCTTTTAAAAAACTGTTGAATTCTGTTCCGGAGTGGCTGTTCACTTTTTGGTATGGTAATTGGGGTAATGAAGGTTGAGCCCAGGGCCTTTGTACTGAGCTATTTCCCCAAATTTTTAATTTTTTATTTCCAGAGGGGTCTCACTAAGTCTCTGAATTGCCCAGGTTGCACTTGAATTTACAACCTTCCTGCCTCAGCCTCTTGGAGTTCTGGGATTATAGGTATTCACCACCATACACAGCTTGGTTATTTTAATTTTTGATGTTGACCAATTGTCCACAAGTGTGTGGACATTTGAAAGATCTGTATCATTCATTGGACCAATGTTTTCTAAATGACTATATGTATTTTACAAAACCACCTAGGAATAAAAGGTTCATTTAAAGAACAACTATAGCCGGGCATGGTGGTGCAAATCTGTAATCTGGGCACTTGGGGTATTACTGTGGGTTTGAAGCCAGCCTGGGCTACACAAAGCATTCACGACCAGCCTGAACTACAGGGCAAGACCTGGTCTTTTTTTTTTTTGTCTTTTTCCTTTTTATCGGTACCAGGGATCGAACTCACAACTGCCTGCTTGCAAGGCAGGCGCTTATGCCACTGAGCTAAATCCCCAACCCCACAAGACCTTGTCTTAAAAAATAATAATAATCTTCCCTTTCCAAGTTAATCTATGAGGTCAGATTTCCTTTAAATGTCCTTCAGTTAATATCTCACAACAGATTAACTTTTTATGATAAATATACCTCTTTTTTCATAAAATTAGATGTATGTAAAGATGTCATAACCTTATTATTGTATTTCTAATGACTCAATAAAAAATTTAAAATTATTTAAAATTTTTCCAGTGTTTAGATGTAGCTCATTGATAATACTTGTTTGGCATGTACCAGTCCATGGCTTCCATTCCAAACGAAACAAAATTTCCAATATCATAAATATTGAAATATATAATCCATATATAAATAAAGCGGTTTTAAAATTTGTTTATTTTGGAGAGAGAGTCTATGTGTAGTTCAGGCTAGTCTTGAACAAGCAAAGATCCTCCTACCTTTATTATTTCTAATAGTGGAGGGTGGAGACCAAAGTTTGAGAACCACTGCTCCGGAAAGGCTAGCCTCGGTGGGGAGAATTAAGTACAAGTCTGTCCCTACTTCCTGCGCTCCTCCTGTCCCCGCGTTCAGCAACGCTATTCTACCTCTCCTGCGACTTTCCAAGCCAGGGCTCGGGGCAGGTACAGGCTGAGCGAACGCAAGCATCTGCGCGGGCACATTCAGCCGGAGCAGCTCTTCAGCGACTCAGTGGTCAGCTTCTGGGGAAAAAGTCTGCCCTTTGCACCAAAGCCCTTGGGCCAGGGGACGGATGGTGCAAGGACGTCACTAGCTGGAAGAGCGTGAGGGGGCTGGGAGAGGGCCCAAAGTTAGTGAACGTTGAGGCTTCTAAAAAATACACAAAAGATGACAATGGTAGCATTGGCAGAGATTAGCAGTCCCAGCGGACACCCTACCAACCTCGGTGCCCCTGCTAAACCATGCCCGCCCGCGCCTCACCGCGCCTGCGCCGGCCCGCCCCCGGCCCCGGGTCGGAGTGCTTTACGACAGCGCCGGCGCTTTCCGGCCGATGCCGATGTGTCGAGGAGGTGGGGTCTAAGGTGCACAGTCTCGGGGCTCCATCTGCTCTGCCGGGCGTCCAGGTCCACTTTCCTCGGCGGAGGGATGGCGGCGCGTGCCCCGTCTGCGCGGGCCCCGCCCGGCTCAGGTAGGCGTGGGACCTGCCCTGCGGCGGGGAGAAGGGCGCGGCGCAGAGGCGGGCGGAGGTCGCCCAGGGGTACCTGAGGGACCTGGGGAGAGGGGCTGGTGACATCGCAGTCAGCAGTCTCGGGATGCCAGTGACATTCGGCTGTTGGACGGCTGTAGGTCTAGGGGTCCGGGGATTTTGGGAGCCCCCCCGGGGATGGGTTGCACTGCTGAGATGTTTCTGCCAGTCAGAGCTCGGTAGGAGAATCCAGGTGAAAGGAAGACCTGGGCTTTGGGGGGGGGGGCTGAGATTTCTGTGATTTGGGAGAATCCTGCGGTCACCCCTTCTCTTTCACTTTCTCCATTTACTGATTGTAGATAAAGTGCAAAAGGACAAGGCCAACCAGACCTCAGGACCCAGGCAGGGCAGCCTAATGGGGAAACTCCTAGGTTTTGAATGGACAGACTTGTCCAGCTGGCAGAGGCTGGTGACCCTGCTTAATCGACCCACGGATCCGGCAAACCTAGCTGTCTTTCGTTTTCTCTTTGGTGAGTCCACTTTCTGCGGGGGTACGTTTGGGTTGGTGGTGGTGTCTGTTTCTTGGTTACTTAGTTACTTAGTTGGTTACTTAGACTTAGCTCCCCTTTCCTTAGAGCTGAAGAAAATTGACTCAGTGGAAGAAGCCCAGTGACGTTTAGGAATAAAGCCAGCTTTGTCTCCTGCACTTAGGATTTGGTGACCAGAAATGCTCTCATTTGAGTCTAGGTGAAACACAAAAGCAGGGAAATGGGGACCTGTTTTGCTTTTACATGAAGTTGCCAGGAACTAACTTTAGAGAAATAGGGCAGGGCAACAGTGCCAAATATTTGGCTGCGACCCAGAGCTTTCTAACTCAGGCCATAACACACTTGGCATGGCCACAGGCATGCCAGACTATCATTGTCTTAGCTTGCTAGTTTTCAGCTGGGGGTAGTTTTGCTCCTGGATTGATTTGGCAGGGTCTGGAAACATTTTTAGTTGTGACAGCTTAGGGGAGGAATAGAAAGCTGTTGACCTCTATGCAGACACAATGGATGCCACCAGATGTCCCGTGACACACAAGGTAATCATTCCAGCAAATAATTAACCAGTCCAAAATGTGAGCGGTCCTGGGGTTGAAAAACCATGCTTGTCTGAAACTGGCTTCCTGATCTATCCCTGAGTGTTGGCCAAACGCCCCTGCTTTCCTGGGTGTGCTAGGAAGAAAAAGATGCCAGGTATGGTTGTGCACATCTATGATCCTAACACTTGGGAGGCAGAGGCAGGAGGATTGCCACAAATATGAGGCCAACCTGGGCTATGTAGTGAGTTTAAGACCACACTGGACTATGCAGCAAAGCCCTGACTAAAAAAGAAAAAACCAAAATAAAACAGAGAGAGAGAGAGAGATTGAGAAGAACCCTTGCCGGGAGCACTGTCTATAGCCAGGTAAAATGGATCTCTGTAACTTAGAGCCCCAAGGGTTTTTACAGGATTTTGTATACTTCGTTATTTAATCTTCTCTGTAATCCTCTAAAGTATTAGGAGCCCCCTTTCCATAAGTGAAGAATTGGCTCACTGAGATGTGTTGGCTCTGTAATTATTGTTGCATTAGCGGTAGAACCAAGATTAGGAATCTGACCTTGGAGCTGGACTGGCTCACCTGGTTTCTACCATATTCTGCTGCTTGGTGAAGTCTAACAATCCTCCTCCCCCCATTGCTGTTGCAGCTTTCTTGATGGTACTGGACATCCCCCAGGAGCGAGGGCTCAGCAACTTGGACCGGAAATACCTGGATGGACTGGATGTCTGCCGCTTCCCTTTGCTGGATGCCCTGCGCCCACTGCCGCTTGACTGGATGTATCTTGTCTACACCATCATGTTTCTGGGTGAGGGAACTGTGGGAGACAGGTGTATTGACTGGCCTGCCAAACACCGAAATACGAAGAAGCATGCTTCTTAGGAAGGACCAAGGTCTTGGGCTCCTGTTTCACTGTACTGTGATTTGATTTCATGCTGCGTGTCATCTTCATCTGTGTGTCATCTGCACTGTGACCCCTTAACTCTTCTTTTTAAAATAGTAACATTTAATTTTCATTTAGTTTTACCTGATTAGAAAATGCCTGATGACTTTTCTTAGTCCCCATCATGGCCTGTTTCTGAGGGGCTGGGCCCGTGGTGACCCCTTGATCTCTCAATCCTCTCCCACAAACCCCAGGGGCACTGGGCATGATGCTGGGCCTGTGCTACCGGCTGAGCTGTTTGCTATTCCTGCTGCCGTACTGGTATGTCTTCCTCCTGGACAAGACGTCGTGGAACAACCACTCCTATCTTTATGGTTTGTTGGCCTTTCAGCTGACATTCATGGATGCAAACCGCTACTGGTAAGAGCCTGGGAGAACATGGGATTGGCTGGATTTGCATGTTTTCTCAAGGCAGGGGCCCAGTGAAGTTCTAGAAATTGCCACAGTAGGCATATTATCAAAATATTGCAGATTGTGATTACAGGATTACACTTTGACTTGGAATGGATTTGGGAGGGGGTCTGGTCAGCCAGTTGGGGTAGTTAGAATGACAAAAAAAAATCAAATGTCTCCATCCTTTACTTTTTCCATATTTTCCTACCTGCCTTGATCTGTATACTTCCTTTCATACTCTTAGAACAGAAGCTGGGTGTGGTGTTGCACACCTGTAATCTCATGCACTTGGGAAGCTGAGGCAGGAGGATCACTGAGAGGTTGTCAGCAGTCTGGGCTACATAATGAGTTCAAGGCCAGCCTGAACTGCATGAATTACATAGTGAGACTCTGTCTAAAAAAAAAAGGAGGTTGCCTGAGGAGTATGAAGAGGAGATCATGTCAGTAGGGGCATCCGTCAGGGAGAAAGTAACCTTCCTCTATCTGTGGCATGGGTGACCATCTTTCAGGAGAGGTGGGAAAGAAAGGATTTGGAGGCCAGGGGGCAGGGTAGGTGACCTTAAGGTTTCTTTCCATTATTAAGTGAAAAGCAAATGAGAAATTCCAGTGGATAGATAGATGATACAGATGAGGGCTGGGGGTTTAGCTCAGCAGCACAAGCACCTGCCTGGTGAGCATGAGATCTTAAGTTTGATCCCTGGTACAAAAAACAAAAAAGATGGTATGAAAGATAGATATAGGAACAAAATCTCAGCATTGAATTCATTAACGCTCATGCAGTTTCATCCTTGGTGCATACAAATTCCCCTTTGTAAAACTTTTTATTTTCTGGAGCCAGGTGCAGTGGCACTGTGAGTGCCGGGGATTGAGTAATGTGTGGCCTAATCCACGTTAAACCTGTGCTTTACCACTAAGCTACATCCCTGTACTCCTTTTAGTGAGACTTTAAGAATATCCAGCTGTGATCATAGAGAATTAAAGGACAGTTTTGATAGGCTTATCCCTGAGATTGTCTGTTTTTATGTTTTTGTTTTTTTTTTTTTGGAACAGAGTCTCACTATGTAGTTCAGGCTGGCCTTGAAATCACCAGGTAGCCCAGGCTGGCCTCAAACTTATGGCAATCCTGTCTCAGCCTCCAAGTGCTGATATCACAGACATGTTGCCCCATGCCTGACTTTTATGACTCTTACACCTTTTAAAGAAATTAACTATCATTTACTGAGCCTTCCTTATGGCAGACGCATTTAAAATTTTCCTCATTACAGCCTTACCACCCTATGACAGTTGATGGGGAGCCCATGGCACACGTGTGCGGCGGGCCTACAGAGCCCTGTCGGCACATGAGCAAATCGCCCCAGCTGCTGAGCGTGAGATATTCAGGCTTAATTGCAGTGTTGCACTTTGCAGTAAACAAGAGTGTTTTAAGTTGCAGTTTGGGCACTCAGGCTCTAAAAGGTTCCCCGTCACTGCCCTCTGAAAAGCCAGGCCGAGTGGCTCATGTCTGTAATCCTAGCACTCAGAAACTGAGGCAAAAAGATTGCAAGTTCAAGGCCAAACTTAGCAATTTAGTGAGACCTTGTCTCAAAAAAAAAGCTGATGGGCTGGGGATCTAGCTCAGCAGCATAGCACCTGCCTGGCAAGTGTAAGGTCAGGAGTTTGATCCCTGATACCAAAAACAAAACAAGCAAAGAGCTGATGGGTGTCGCTCAGTCGTAGGCTACTTGCCCAGTGTGTGTGACGCCTTGGATCCAGGCCCTTGCACTGCAAAATGATAAAAACTGTGAGGCCCATAGTGTTGTTCTCATTTCATAGATGAAGTAACTATATCTTTCAGTAGTAGAGGATTCGTCTAAGGTTACTTAGCAGTAAGAAACAGAAGTGAGTGTTGGTATCCTCGACCGAGGAGTCCAGTGTTCTCAGTCACAAGTGTATGCTGCCTCTTCTCCAAGTTCCTGAAAACTTGATTTGCATCTGCTGCCCCAGAATGCATGCATGGTTAGTAGCCTGGTTTTCCATTTCTGTCCTAGCATGAGAGCGTTTAGCTTGTACCTGTGTGCCCTGGATCCTGGCATCCCGTCTGTGAAGTGCTAGTTTCCGCTGTACATTATTACTCTGTGCAGTGCTTTGAATTTTTTTTTTTTTTCAGTGCTTGGAACTGACCCCAGGGACTGGTGCATGCTGGGCAAGCATTTTACCACTGAGCTACATCTGCAGCTCTGAAAATTTTTACAAGAGAGAACATGTATATGTTCCTGATTTGTAGCTTTTCTTTTTTTTTTTTTGGTACCAGGGATTGAATTTACAACCCTGAGCTTGCCAGGCAGGTGCTTATGCCACTGAGTTAAATCCCTGGTCCCTAGTTTTTCTTTCTTTTCTATTTCTTTCTTTCTTTCTTTTTTTTTTTTTTTGTCTTTTTCATTTTTATCGGTACCGGGGATCGAACTTCCGACTGCCTGCTTGCAAGGCAGGCGCTTATGCCGCTGAGCTAAATTCCCAGGCCTCCCCCCCCCCCCCTTTTTTGAGATAAGTCTCACTCTGTAGTTCAGGGTGGGCTTGAACTCACAGTGATCCTCCTGCTTCAGCCTTCTGAGTGCCAGGATTACAAGCATGCACCACCATGCCCAGCTACCTAGAGCTTTTTAAACATACTCTCAAGTTCATAGTTCATTGCCTTTCTCAGTCATTTTCTAATTATAGCCTTTTATCCACTAGAATTGTGAGCTAATGGCAAACACTGAACTTTTTATTGTTATAATTTACTATAGTCTCTGACTTAGACTTTTTGACTTACGATGGTACAAAAGTATATCCATACATCATCCTACTTTTCACTTTGGAGTCCATATTCTGTAAATTATATGAGCTGGTCGTGGCAGCATACGGCAGTATATAAATCCAGCTCTTGAGAGGTTGAGGCCGGAGGATTGTGAGTTTGAAGGCTACATAGATCAGGCCAGCCTGGACTATATAAACAACACCCTATCTTTTTTTTTTTTTTTTTTTTTGTCTTTTTCGTTTTTATCGGTACCAGGGATCGAACTCACAACTGCCTGCTTGCAAGACAGGCGCTTATGCCGCTGAGCTAAATCCCCAGCCCCAACAACACCCTATCTTGAACAACAAACCAAATCCAAAAAATAAGGAGAAAGAGAAGGAAAAATAAAATGAAATAGTTAATATTTCATTACAAAATGGATGTGTTAGATGATTTTGCCCAACTGTAGGCTAACAGGTGTTCTGAGCACAGTTAGGGGAGGCCAGGGGAGGCTGTGTAGGTTACATGTACCTAATGCATTCTTGGCTTACAATATTTTCCTTGTTTTGGGACTTTTGAGACAGAGTCTTGCTATGTCACTTAGGCTAACCTCAAACTTGTGGTGATCCTCTTGCCTCAGCCTTCTAAGCACTGGAATTACAGGCATGTGCCATCATGCCTGGCCCGTATTTTCAATTTATGATGAGTTTATTCAGACATTACATCACAAGCCAAGAAACATCTGTAGTAATACTGCTTTCATTATCGTTTTTTCCCATATTCAAGGTTGAGCTGAGGGCCTCACCCAGGCTGGGCAAGCACTGGACCACTGAGCTGTATCCCCCAGCCCTTTGTTATTTTAAGACAGTGTCTTACACAGTGCCAAGGCTGGTCTTAAATTTGACAGTGTTCCCACCTCAACCTTCTGTGTAGCTGGGACTCCAGGCATGCACCACCTGGTTGTAGTACTATTTCTTTTGCAGCAAAATAATTCCTATTACATTGAGCTGGGATGTAGTAAGTGGTAGAGTACTTGCCTGGTATATGCAAGGCCCTGGGTTTGATCCCTAGCATGGCAGGAAAAAAAATCACTGTTTTGAGTTTGCTCCTATCTTTTAAAAGTGTCTCAGAAGAGCCCAGCAGAGCAGGGAGGACATGGGAGGTATCCCTGATGTAGATACAGCTGGCACAATAGAAAGGGCTACGAAACCTCCCTGAACCTTGAACTTCCTTGGTTTAGGTCCATCGATGGCCTGCTGTGTCCCCGCAAGAGGAATGCACATGTGCCTCTCTGGAACTACACGATGCTGCGGGGCCAGGTATGAGGTCTCAGCCAGAGCCGGGGCTCCTGGACTCCCGTCAGGGTCAGTGTGGTTTTCCATTACGAGGCTGCACTCTGCCTTCCCAGATTGTCTCTCTGTTCCATTTGGTGGAAAGCTAGGCTAGCTTTTCCATGTTTTCCAATCTCTAAATCTCAGAGTTCTGCTTGTCGTGGAACAAACAGTGCTCCGTCTGTGCCAGGTGAGACTTGAGGGTCACATCTGTGCTTTTGTCTTCCTCGCCACCTCAGATGGTGCCGGCATGGGTGGGAGGGCAGTAAGTGTTTACTGGCTAAGTGGATACCGGGTGAACAGACAGAGGCCGGGATGTGCTCTCCCTTGGGCCCTGTGCTGGTATCAGAACTGACTTTATTGCTGGCAATGGAAACAGTGTTTTGTGACATGGAAGCAACAGTGGTCTTTTTTCTTGCTGCTGTTTGTTTTTCAGATCTTCATCGTGTACTTCATTGCGGGTGTGAAAAAGCTGGATGCCGACTGGGTGGAGGGCTACTCCATGGAGCACCTGTCCCGCCACTGGCTCTTCAACCCCTTCAAGTGAGCGGCGGTCTGGAGAGGCCTCGCGGGGGCGTGAGTGTGGGGCGCAACTCGCCCCTAGAGCTGCAGTGGTGGCTGCTCTTCCTGTCACTTAATTTGGCCTCCTGAGTCCCTTCTCCCCTTCATTCCCTGGAGAGGCCTTTTTCCCATCCTCGGAATTTTATGTGTGTAATCCCATGGAACCATTGTTGGAATCCTGGCGAATTACAATCTACCACCTGCGGTGTGACTTAGGTAGAGAATACAGACACTAAGACTCAGTTACAGTTATGGGCAGTCCAGTCCCATGAGGGTTCACTAACAAAGGCCATAACATAGAGCCTAACCCAGATTTTATTAATTCATAAAGAAGGGAGTGGCTTGAGGATGAGTGAGTGTGTCAGTGGTGGAAATTGTGTGTTTACTGCCAGCTGAGCTAGCTGGGAGGCCAGAAAGCACCTCTGTAATGGGCAGAGAAGGTGATATGACCACGCTGCACAACACAACTCAGGTGGCATTTAATGTTTAGGAGGTTGTTGCTTTAGTTTTTGATGTGTAAGCTTTTGTGCCTGGGAAGTTATATGCTCTTATCTTGAGGCTCAACCCCTGGAGCTTTGGCTCTGTCATACCCCTGGGCTTAGCCATTTAGAGGGAGAGACTGAGGCGAGAAAACAGTTGACTGTCACAGATTACACATCAGTACCTCACTAGCCCTGTTTACATTGCTTAGAGCCAATTAAAGGAACAAAATAGCTTAGCCTGTTCTATACATATCAGTACATGGAGCTAGGGCCAGGTTTAGCCGAAGTGGAGGTGATTGTTCTGTATTCAAGGAGAGCCATCCAGGGAGTCTTCTGCAGTCCCTGTTCAGCAGAAGGCGTGGTCAGTGCTGTTAAGACTAACCCCCAGCAGCCCCTAGGAGACGTGAGGGGGCAGGAAGGGAAAAGAAAAACGGGAAGGAAGAGCCAGAGGAGCTGACTGGTGGACAGGCCCAGCACTTGCCTTGGCCTGGCAGCCAGGGTCCTGCAAAGCAGGGCTCTCGACACCGCCATTACCAACTCTGCAAAGCACATGTTCACCTCTGGCTCTTCTCTTCCTGCCTCTCAATTTGTTCGTTTTCTTCCTCCTTGTTACTTCTCACTTCCTGAAGTTTGACTTAGCATGTTAGCCCAGTGTTCACGGTTTAGACTTTCTTATTTGTGACCTCCATGTGGAGCACGGTGCACCCACTTCCCCATCAGGTCTTATCCTAGGAGATCTGCCTTTGCTCTTCACGGAATGTTATGTTAAAGACAGCTGGACACATGCAGTTGGAAAGAGGCTGGAGAACTACATGGCGGAGCACGTCCAGAGGACAGGGTAGCAAAGGCACAATGTGCTGGGAATGTGGTGTGACTTGGGTTTCCCAGAGGCTCGGTATTACTCCTTTGTGCCTGTGTCTACAGACTGGTGTTGTCCGAGGAACTGACTAGCCTGCTGGTGGTGCACTGGTGTGGGCTGCTGCTTGACCTCTCCGCTGGCTTCCTGCTCTTCTTTGATGCCTCAAGACCCATTGGCTTCTTCTTCGTGTCCTATTTCCACTGCATGAACTCCCAGCTCTTCAGCATCGGTCAGTACCTGTAGCAGGCTGCAGGTCTGCAGGGAGATATTAGCAAGCGGCATGGTTTGGGCGTGGAGATATTGGTGTGGGAGCAGGAGATAAACTGAGCCCAGAGCAGTCACTGTGAAGTGGGGATAAGATAATGGCGATTCCAGAATCCCTCAGTATGTTTAGTGAGGAATTGCTACATAGTGAGTTCAAGGCCAGCCTGAACTGTGTAGAGAAACCCTGTCTCAAACAGATAAAAAAATGAATCTGAACAGGGGCAGGGTGGTGCATTCCCAGCCCAAGCAACTTGGCAAGACCCTGTCAAAATTTGAAAGAAGAAAAAGAACTGGATGTGGTGGCACATACTTATAATCCCAGCACTTGGAGGCTGAGGCAGGAGGATTGCCATGAGTTTGAGGCCAGCATGGGCTACATAAGCAAGTTAAAGGCCAACTGGCACTACATAGCAAGACCTTGTCTCAAAGAAAAAAAAAATTTCAAAAAAACAAAAGGGAGTGGTGGCTGGGGATGTACCTCAGTATAATGATCTTGGATTTATTTCCTAGTATCATAATAAAAAATGAATATTTTTAAAGGCTGGTAACATAGCTCAATGGTAGAGTACTTGCTTACCAAGAACCAGGCCCTGTATTCGATCCCCAGTGCTGCAGATCCAGGGCCTCACATATGCTAGACAAGCATTCTGCCATTGGGGTACGGCCCCAGCCCAAAGGCGTGCGTATATGACTCAGGTTTGTACCCAAGGCCTTCATACTGAGCTTGTTCAAAGTTTTGTAGTTTTCATCGTTTTTAATTTTTATTAGTATGTTTGTAGTACACAATGATTGCATTCATCACAGGGAGTTCGTACACATGTATGTAGCTCGTCTTAACTCTGTTTATAGTCTTTCCCTTCTGCTCCCCCTCAGTTATTCTTTACTTTGAAACAGAGTTTTGCTGAGTTGCCCAGGCGTGGTTCAAACCTGCCATCCTCCTAGCTCAGCCTCCCAGAGTGCTGGGATCACAGGTGTGCCTCACCGTGGTGGGCCCCAGGGGCTCAGTGGGACCCGGGAAAGACTTCTGAGGGGACGATGAAGAGAGTCCACTCTACCTCTCGCAATACCCTCTGCTGTTCTAGGTATGTTCCCCTATGTCATGCTGGCCAGCAGTCCTCTCTTCTGCTCCCCCGAGTGGCCTCGGAAGCTGGTCTCCCACTGTCCCACAAGGCTTCAAGAGCTGCTGCCGCTCACGACTGCCCCTCAGCCCAGCGCCTCCTGTGTGTATAGAAGGAGCCGGGCCAAAGGCAGCCAGAAGCCAAGGCTGCGCCACCGGCTGGCCGCTGCCTTCACCTTGCTCTACCTCCTGGAGCAGCTCTTCCTGCCCTATTCCCACTTCCTCACGCAGGTTGGTGGGAGCTCGCACGCGCAGCAGAGCGCAGGGTGATAGGCTGGGAAAAGATGGGCTGGTTCTGCAGCCCTTTCCATGGCGTTGGTATGGGAAGCACTGAGCCGGTCCCCCTCTGCCAGGGCTATAACAACTGGACCAACGGGCTGTATGGCTACTCCTGGGACATGATGGTGCACTCACGCTCCCACCAGCACGTGAAGATCACCTACCGTGACGGCCTGACTGGCGAGCTGGGCTACCTCAACCCTGGGGTGAGGCATCTCACACTGACAGTAGACTGCTCTTTAGAGCCTGCAGGAGCTTCAGGGTCTGGTTTGGTCCTACAGCCATCATAAAGTAAAACAGACTTGGGTCTCTGCCCTTCCTGCAGAGCCAGTTTGAGCCCTTCCCTTTGTGAGTTGAGACAGAACGCCTCTCACTTTGTTTTGAATCAGGGTTTCACTGTGTAGTTCAGCCTAGCTTTATACTCAATGTGTAGCCCAGGCTGGCCTTGAATTTGCTGTGATCCTCCTGCCTCAGCCTCCCAAGGGCTGAGTTACAGATGTGAGCCACTATGCCTATCTGTCTCACACTTTCTTTGAATTGAGTTTAGTTAGGAAAGGTATGAGTTCCATTAGCCCAGCAGTAGAAAATTCATACCCAAAGACAAGTTCATTTGCTTTTCAGTGTGAGGTGTTGAATGCAGGCCCTTCACACAAAACTGTAGGTAGGCCTTTTTTATGTTTTATTTAGAGACAGGGTCTTGCTGCATTGTCCAAGCTGGGCTTGAATTTGTGATCCTTCTGCCTCATCCTGGGGAATACTGGGATTACAGGCGTGTACCACCATGCCTAGCTAAATTTCTTTTTTTCTTGGTTAAAATGAGCAGCAGGCAGCGATATTCTTGTGCCACTGGCAGTGCATGCCCTGTTGGGGAGTGATGACGAGGTGGGACTAATGTGGGGGTTTGGGACAGGTATTCACACAGAGCCGGCGATGGAAGGATCACGCAGACATGCTGAAGCAGTATGCCACTTGCCTGAGCCGCCTGCTTCCCAAGTACAATGTCACTGAGCCCCAGATCTACTTTGATATTTGGGTCTCCATCAATGACCGCTTCCAGCAGAGGTGGGCAAGGGAGCAGCGAATGGGAAAAAACAAGCGCAGCTCTTTCTGCCAAGATGAACAGCTCTCGCCCCCTGGAGTTGTCTTGCTTAAAAGGCTGCCACTCTACTGCATGTCCCTGTTGACCTGGTTTGTGGGCATATCTGATTATGTCCGGCAGGGGGCACCATCACCCAGAAGAAAAGTGAACTGACTGTTCTTTTTAGGCCCTCCTAACACAGTGCCTTCTCAGGTGGCCACTTCACTAGCATTCTTTCCAGGGATCCCAAATCTCTTTGCCTTCTCTCTGCCCTGGTCTCGAAATAACACGCTGACACCCAGCCATTTCTTGCATCTGGAAACCCCATTCCCTCTTGCTGGGAATGGAAGTTATGGTTGGGTTGGGGCTGTGGTCTCCTTAGAGCATGGTTTTCTTTCCTAAGGCTTTTTGACCCTCGTGTGGACATCGTGCAGGCCGTCTGGTCCCCTTTCCAGCGAACGCCTTGGGTGCAGCCACTCTTGATGGACTTATCCCCTTGGAGGACCAAGTTACAGGAAATCAAGAGCAGCCTAGACAACCATACTGAGGTGGTCTTCATTGCAGATTTCCCTGGTATGGAGGACAGTGAGATTGCGCCATGCGGTGGGGAGGGGCTCTCCCAGGGTGACGATGGGGAAATTGGATGTCTCCATCCTAGCTGGGAGTGTGAATTCTGTTACCCCCCAGGGCTTCACTTGGAGAATTTTGTGAGTGAGGACCTGGGCAACACTAGCATCCAGTTGCTGCAGGGGGAGGTAACTGTGGAGTTGGTGGCCGAACAGAAGAACCAGACACTCCGGGAGGGAGAAAAAATGCAGGTATTTTAGTGGGATTAATACTGGTAGAAAGTTTAGATGAATAGGGTTTTTTTGTTGTTGTTGTTGTTGCTTGTTTGTCTTTTTTTTTTTTTTTTTTTTGTCTTTTTCTTTTTTATCGGTACCAGGGATCGAACTCATGACTGCCTGCTTGCAAGGCAGGTGCTTATGCCGCTGAGCTAAATCCCCAGCCCCAGTTTGTTTGTCTTTTTAAGACAGGGTCTCGCTATGCAGTTTAGGCTGACCTTGAGCTCACTTTGTAGCCCAGGCTGGTCTTGAACTCGCAGTGATCCTCCTGCCTCGCCTCCCGAGTTCTGGGATTACAGGCATGAGCTACCGCACCTTGCTCCGAATAGGGTTTTTTTATTATAAGTAAAAATGTCTCACTCGTTTAAAAAAAAAAAAAGTTTCACTCTTAATTTTAGTGCAGGGTAGGCTTCAAAAGGCTTGGGCTAGGGGTACAGCTCAGTGGTAGAGCATGTACACACAGGCCCTGAGGTTTATCCCCAGCGCACACACACGTGTGCACACACACAGAGGCTGTGAAAAGCTTCGTCAGGATTCCAGGAGCCAGGAACTTCAAACTCTAAAACACAGAAAAATGGTACCTGGAGGGGTACACACCTGTAATCCCAGCCTCTTGGGAGGCTGAGGCAGGAAGACCACTGCTAGTTTGAGGCTAGACTAGGCTGCATAGTGAGATTTTATCTGAAAAAATTAAAAAAGAGTGATGTAGGAGGGATAGAGTAGGAAGGCCATAGGCTGGCTAGGAAAGGTTAGAGTGAAGTACACCTGTTTCTTCTCCTTGTCAGTTGCCTGCTGGTGAGTACCATAAGGTGTACACTGTGTCACCTACTCCGTCCTGCTACATGTACATCTATGTCAACACTACAGAGCTTGCCCTGGAGCAAGACTTGGCACATCTGCAAGAATTAAAGGAGAAGGTGGAGAGTGGAAGAGGTGAGTATAGAACATTTGGGCTGAGACAGCCCCTGGCTTCAGAGAGTCGGGGCTGGCCAGGCATGGTGGCGTACCACTAGCTAGCATTTTGGGAAGCTGAGGCAGGACGATTACCTTGAGTTCGAGGCCAGCCAGGGCTACATAGCAATACCCTGTCTCAAAAATTCCCACAAAACAAAAAGCAAGTCAGGGTTATGAGTGAGGACCCCGCCATTAAAGAATGAACTTGAATCTCTATTAGTGAAGAGTTCTAAGGGAGATGGGCTGCATCTCAGTGATTCTTTTTCCTGTCTTCCGGCAGAGACGGGGCCTCTACCTCCAGAGCTGCAGTTTCTCTTGGAAGGGGAAGTAAAAGGGGGTCCTGAGCCAACACCTCTGGTTCAGACCTTTCTTAAACGCCAGCAAAGGCTCCAGGAACTTGAACGGCGGCGAAATGCCCCTCTCCATGAGCGGTTCTGGCGCTTCTTGCTGCGAAAGCTGTATGTCTTTCGCCGAAGGTTAGTCTCACCCACAGCAGTGTGGTTGTTGCCATCCTGTTCGCATGCATGGTAACTTTTCCACAGGGACATCCACACTAGAGATACTCCAGGGCAAGGTGTCTTCCCTGTAAGCAGCAGCTTCTGTCTGCTGACCTGCTGTCTGGTGCCTGAGCTGTCTCCAGCCTCCCCATTGGTTATCCCTCCCATCCCTGGGGTCTTCTGCAGAGGGCATAGGTAGTGGGTGCCCTTCCAGCAGGGACATGAAGGGCCACTGGAATATGGAAACAGGAAGGTTCTCAAATTGCTAAGGGGAATAGAGCTGGGAGCATGTGCTCCCTCAGGGCTTTGGCTGGAATTGTTAGGTGAAAACGAGCTTGGATTTAACTGGCCTAGTGACAGCCTGTAATCCCTGCCCTTGGGAGGCTGAGGCAGGAGGATCACTGAGTTTGAGGCAAACCTGGGCTGTATAATGACTTCAAACCCAATCTGAATTAACAGAGACCCTGTCTCTAACCATTAAAAACCAAAAAATTTTGACTGAGTTAGGTTTTTTGTTTTTCAGCTTCCTGATGACTCGTATATCACTTCGAAATCTGGTATTAGGACGTCCTTCTCTGGAACAGCTAGCCCAAGAGGTGACTTATGCCAACTTACGACCTTTTGAGCCAGCAGAAGACTTAAGAAACTCTCTCAACCCTCACCCTCCCAAGTCAGATTCCGACCTGACCCACTTAGAGTTGTGAGGGGCCCAGATAGGTGCAGATGTGACACGCTGAGTGTCATGTCATTGGCTGCAATGGACATTTGAGAAAATTAGCTAAGATTTCTTTTTTACATTTTTTTCTTTCAAAGTACTTTTTAAATTGAGATGATAGTGTAGAGGAGCCAAGGAAATAAAGCAAAAAAAGGTTTTTCAATTCAAGATTGAGGAACCAGGGCCAGGGATGTAGTTCTGTGGCATGAGCACCTGCCTGGCAAACTCAAGATTGTGAGTTCAATTCCTGGTACCAAAAAAAAAAAAAAAAATTGAGGAACCATAAGGAACTTTAGAAGCAATGTGAGATATTTTCTTAGGACAAAGGGATAAAAGTTTAAATTGAACAGCTCTTCAGGGAAAAGAAGAGCATTCTACTTCCCCTTCCAAGAGAAACTGCAGCTCTGGAGGTAGAGGCCCTGTCTCTGCCGGAAGACAGGAAAAAGAATCACTGAGATGCAGCCCATCTCCCTTAGAAGCATTTGTTCTCAAATGCTTGCTGAGTAGTAGTATGCCTCTTACCACTTTTTTTTGAGACATGCTGTTGCTATGTAGTTTATGCTGGTCTTGAACACCCTGTGTAGACCAGGCTGGCCCTGAACTCTCAGTGATCCTCCTTTCTTGGCCTCCTCCTGGGTGTTGGGATTACAATCATGTCGTCATGCTTGCTACCATATTTAACTAGTGACAGCCAGTAAGTCTGTTTACACTTGGAGAAACTAAGACTGAGAGACACAATAATTTGCCCACACATCAAGCTAGTAAGGGGTGGATTGAAGATTTGTACTTAGGTCTGTTTGACTTAAGGCCCAGCAACACGTTGCCAATAATTTTCAGAATTGATGGCAGCAAGTCTGAAATAATACAGCTTAAAACTTAATAAGATGAGGCAGGACGATCACAAGTTCAAACCTAGCCTGAGCAATTTAGTGACTGGATGAACCCCTCTCAAGAAAAAGAGCTGGGCACAAGGCTCAGTGCAATCCCTAGCACCCCCTCCCAAACCTCAAAGTTTCAACACAGGTAATGTTTAAGATAGAGATCTGGTTCTAAATGCACAAGACAATTCTACCAACACCATCTTTGTTTCCTTCACTCCTATTATTTATAGGACCAATTAGGTTTTTCACCACCAATTATCAAGATTTAATCAGAGTTGGGCTGGGGATTTAGCTCAGTGGCATAAGCACCTGCCTTGCAAGCAGGTGGTTGTGATCCCTGGTACCGATTTAAAAAAAAGATTTAATCAGAGTAACACCAAAACTGAACAACTTTTAGATTGCTATTTTTGAAAAGTTAAGCTAACAGCAACTTTACACTTTGACCAAGTTATCAATTCTACCTTTTCAAGCTGTTTTCTTCCATCTGTGTATATAGTCTTTCAGCCTTTATATGGAGTCTATCCAGTTAGGGGTAGACCATGACAGGGTCATCAGGTTTGGTTGGACTGAAATAAGCAGGGTGCTCAGAAGGTCCTCTGGTTCATTGTGGGCTGATGACCACAGTAGAGTGCTGTGATCACTTTGTAAGCATTAGAGCAGCCTTGCCTTTTAATCCATATATATAATTTTTAATTTTTTTTTTTTTTTTTTTTTTTTGTGGTTGGGATTGAGCCCAGGGCTTTGCACCTGCTTGTCAAGCTGTACTGCTGGGCTATACTGCCACCCTCGCCCTTACTCATAGCAGTGGTATGCTAAGTTATTCCATTTCCCTCTTTGACTGGTGTTCATGTGGGGTAAGGAAGGCAGCCTTCCTGTTTGTGTACTACCTCTTAATAGTTTTTCCCAAGGAAAACGCAGAGTGAGGCAGGCTGGGCTCACATGCAAAGCTGTTCAGCGGTAGATCGTTACCATACTGCTGGAGGAGTTGGGCCCTGCACAACTGCTTTCCAGGCAATGTGCCACCAATGTCCTTTCAGCCAATCTTACATTCTACCACTATTGCTTTTTGTACTTCATCATCATCTATTTGAAACTTTCAGAAAAGCAAAGGCAATTTTTCTTGGCAGTACTTGGGATCTGAACCCAGGGCATTGGCCCTGAGCTACATGACATGTTTGAGACAGGGTGTCAACTAAGTTGCCCAGGCTAGGCTCAAACTTGCCATCCTTCCATCTCAAGTTCCCCTGAGTGATGCAAGTACAAATTTCTCAATTTAAACTTGGTTCTTAACATTCCTTTTTCCTGTACCCATTTAGTACTTTGCCAGCTGTTCACCATCACTGCCACATCCTGTTGCTTCATGCCTTCACCCCTTTGCTGCCCTCTGTAGCCATTTGCCCACAAAGGGAACACAATCCTTGTATGTGAACCTGAGAGCTAGACCTCTAATTGGTAAACAAACCGTGGCATTACTAGTTCTTTCCTGTCACTTGAGGGAGGGTCTGTGTACCGCAGGCTGACAGTTTTGCAGTGATCTTGCTGGAGTGCTGGGATTACAGGTTTATGACACCACCACTTACAGGCACCAATCTGGTTATCTCTAGGTATTACTCTTCAGAGTAACTGCTACTGGTCTTGGCCTAAACCATTTAGGGCCACTTTAGGCTGAATGGCAGGCAAAGAAGCCTCCTCTGTATTTATAGCTGCTCCCCATTGCTCATATTGCCATCCTAACTTAGCTTTGGACCATAGTAGTGAAAGCTTCACAAGCGTGTACCTGTGAACTGCACATGGGAGTGATCTATGCTGCATGCTCTAGCTGTGTAACATAATAGAAGTACATGTGAGTCTTCTAAGCCTTCCATGTCAGCTGGATGAGAGCACTGAGCCACCACTATCAGGTACTGGCAAGAACATGCCTACTTGGCTCTGCACACACTCCTGATTAGAAGCCAATGCCCTTGGTTTACATGAACACCACCGTAAATTTTAAACCTGGAAATTCACAGCAGTTATTGCATGCAACAGGCTCCATTTATAATGCCTGATTTGTGAAACAGTGCCTATGTGCATAACCCTAGGGGTTTGACTTTGAGCAGAATATAGAGGTATAAAAAATGTTCTGAATTAGGGATCAAGGTTTTTTATTCTTTACTCATCCATCTTCTATCACAGCATTATCATTGGTTGCAGGAATCCACTAGGGGTCTATGAATAATCCTCTACTCTGCAAGTATTAGTTGAAATGTAGTGGAAAGATTTTATAAAGTAGCATACTCCCTATTTGTTTCCAATGTGGAATTTCAACTCCTACTGCGGACAGCTACAGTGAGGGAGCTTGCAGAATGCAGCCTAGAAGGCAATGGTGACAATCAAATCTTGGTCCAGGGTTAAGGTTATAAACCTATAAATGTAGGCACAGTAGGTCCAAGCATAGTTAATGTTTCTGAATCATAGATTCTAATACTCTAGGGTTATTAAAGGTACAACTGTAGCATTTTAAAAAAACAATGGACAGAGTTAGGGTAGAACCTAGCATTTTATTTAGATCTTCATTAACTGTTGGAATTGAGAACCAGACATACGTAATAAACCTCCAAAAATAGATCCTGAAAGGCACTTTCCGCTTAGGGCAAGCAGTCATGGAATAAGCATGTAAACAAGCTGGCTTCTCTGTACCACACCAGCCAAGTCAGCTTTCTCCATGGCCAGCTGCACCAGCTCTGCCCTCCCTTCTGTAACACCAGCCAGACCCCCTGTAGGTCTAACCCAAGGTTTTTCTGTAGGACACCTTGGCCTACCTGGGAATGCTGGAAACATGTTGTTAAAGGAATCATGGTGTCGAGGAAAAAAAAAAAAAAAAAAACTTTTAAAAGCTGCCATCTGAGGCGATGGCTTCTCTGTACTTACGCCATACCCCAGAATACAATAAATAAGCAATTAGAAAATGTTCAAGTATGAAGGGATTTCCTCCTCCCCGCCAAAAGCACTGCTCTCTGAAGGAAGCTGGTTTCTCTGTAGCTACACCAGCTGTTCAGAAAGCTCATTGGACCTGGTTTTGAAAATAAAACAAAGTTAAAACCCTGGGAGGAATTATTGTGCAGTGTGGAATACTCAGTCTTTCTTATAAAGAAAAAAAAAAGTTATCTGGTACCAAAGTGTGCAACCTACAGACCCTCAGGTACTGCCCTGTGACTTCTCTGTATGACATCACAAGGGTGCCAAGTGCCTGTTTCTAGACTAAGAGTTAGTGAGGTTTGGCTAGTGCTGAAACCATGCATAGGATTGGTTTTACTAAATTAAAAACCTTATTACGTACGTCCTCCAAAAGACAGCTGAAAAGTGGAGATTTTGATTTGGTGCTGTTATAGGTGGCAATTAGAGCATAAGCACCAGGGAGATGGTTTTTAATGGTAACTGCCTTTTTCTGATGTCAGGCTAGAGCTCCAACTGGAACTTGCGTTACATGCAAGACTGATTGGATAGGGAACACTCCCTGACAAAGCTACATAATTAGAAATGGGTCAAGTTACAGGGTGAGTTGGGAGAGGGCTTCACATTCATAATAGAGCTCAAGACATTACAAATTCATGCTGACAGGGCTGTGGCATTGCCAGACAGAGGCTATAGTGGAACTACAAGTACTTTACGTGCACATTACAAGGACATTTTCAGCATGGTGGGAAAGAACGCAATTAGGACTTTGGAGGTTTGGGTGATAGGGCACAAAGGTTCAATTTCAAAGCATTATTCACTACAGTGTTGTCTGTTTCTAGGCAGTTACATGGATCACCTATGCTCACTAAATTCATTATAATGGTGAACAGAACACCTAGGGACAGAATAGCAAGCCAACTTACAGTCCCCCACAAAAGCTAAAATTCATGTCAATGACTAAAGAGTGACTGCCAACTGATCAGGAGCTGAAAGAGGACAGGAAAAATTAGGGAGAAGGGCCCTTTCCCTCAGAGCTTGAAGGCTTCTCTGTAGCCTACGCCAACAAGTCTGGGGAAAAAAGGCTAACACTTTCAATATTTAAGCTTTTTGGGCACTTCCCATGGGAAGCTGTCCCTACCAAAGTGGCCATAGGCTGCAGTCCTCTGATAAATTGGCTTCTTCAGATCCAGATCCCTGGAATATATAAGTCCGTAACTTAATATGTAGCATTCAATTAAAACAAAGCAAAACAATCAGCAAGACTCATTTTCAAGAGCTCTGGCAAATGAGTTCAGTTCTCTGGGGTACGCTAGGAAAAAAGTTTGTGGCAGAAATGTTACTTTCCTGGTGTCCAAACTCCTTGCACAGTTATTAGTAACTACAGCTCTTTTCCGGCCCTGGCTCAACAAACAGGAAAACTCATTATTCTGAGGAATTCCAATTATCAAAAAGCTCATCTGAGATCACAGAATACTTACCAATGTCCCACTGCTCACTACGGTTATTTCCTTTGTAACAGCCTTGAGCATCCCACTTATTTATGCATTAAATTTTGTAATTCAAACACCTTTAAGTACGATGAGCAAATCCCGTATCTAGATTGGTTAGTCTAAGCCATGGAATACTAATTTTATTTCTCAGCTAAGCCCCCAAGGCAATGTAAAGCATCAGCATGTTTTAGAAATCAGCTGTTCCCCAACTTTAAGTCCACTTTCACCTCCTGGATTTAAGCAGTGTGTATACACCCACACCCTGTATTTTTTATTATCAGTATGCTTTTACCATCTTTACCTGACAATGACCCCAGGGCGAAGATCAAAATTCTTCTTCACAATCTCTAACAGCTCTCTCTCACTCTTCTGAGAGGTACCATAATGGAAAATGGAGATTGACAATGGATGAGAAACTCCAATAGCGTAAGAGACCTGTAAGAATCCAATGTTTTAAGTTCGTACTTTAAACACACTTGAGTAATACACTGGCATAAAACAAGCAGTTTTTATTACATACCCTCCCTGCTTATATAACTTTAACCACTCTAATTACATAAAGAATATATAGATGTACCTGTACAAGAACCCTTCTGCACAGACCTCCTTTAACAAGAGATTTTGCCACCCAACGAGCAGCATAAGCAGCTGAACGGTCCACCTTGGTATAATCCTTTCCTGAAAAGGCACCTCCTCCATGAGCTCCCCAACCACCGTATGTGTCCACAATGATTTTCCGACCAGTCAAACCAGCATCACCCTGGAATTAAAG